TGGCCTGGACAAACCAAAAATAATCTCTTCAGTGTACATATGACTGGCAAAGAGCTTGATCCACAGAAAGTATTATCAGATCCCGAGGAATTTCGGCAGTTCTTCCGATCTCAAACTGGCCGGAAAGATATCAAGTTGATGGACATCGTTTGGATTTCGGAATATATGTTAGTTGAACGTGACTCATATGTGGGCATCCACTTACAGTCGGATTCCACATAACCCATAGCCCTGATAACCCATAGTTCCTTATAACCCATAGCTTTTGGGTCTTTACATACTATGTTAGTAGTGCACCGAATCTCAGAACCCATAGGTCCGTATACCCCATAATCCATACCCATGCGGGGAGCGGAAAACCCATACTTATATCCCATTTTTGAACAGCAAGGTACAAATTAGATGTAAAGGAAGTCATCAAAATGGCCTCGACTCATCACGTATGGGTAAACTCACTTTCGCCGTCCTAAATCGCGGGCTTTTGGCCTACCAGAAGGCCGTATGACCAGACAAGCAGCTCGCGTACGACCCGAAGATCGGCTTACGGGCGAAGACACAGAATGGGTGGACAAAGATGTCAATGACATCGGTGAGTGTACACCTCTTGACTTCGGATTTCGAACGCGGCTTGCGACGCCTGGATTCTGCTGGACTGAAATTGGTGATCGGATCCCTTCGCACGGCAAATGGAAACCATTATTAGTCGTTTCGCACGTCAAACACACCGAGACGAAGTCAATTCTCTATCCACTACAACCATTACTGATCACTTCTCTCATTTGTCCAAGTAGACACCAGACAAGTCCCAAATAATCAATATCTTATTGCACCTCCCTTTTTTTGACTCGGAATCCAGGTGTCCTGTTACTAACCCATAGGTCCCGAAAACCCATAGCCCGAGGCATTGACCGACAGCTATGGGTCATGTGGAATCCGACTGTATATTCTTTGGATGGATACTAGTCCCAACATTCGAATGGTCGACGAGCTTGAGCGAGATCGTGTATTTATAGTTGGAGGTATGGATTTAGCCTTGCCCGGTCCGAACGAGCCCTTCACCACTTCATGCAGACGCGGCACATGTCCACAGTCGACTCTCATTGGAGGCCAGGTAATCTCGCCTCTTCAAAGACGCGCAGACCTCCAACGATGTTTTTAGGGCATGAATTCTAGTGTTCAAGACTCGGTGATATTTATGCTCCGCTGTTGCGCACAACCACTAACTCCGCATTAGTTCAATGTTGGTTGGAAACTCGCCTGCGCCACTCTCGGTCTGGCTTCTCCTGGTATCCTCTCGACGTACGCGGAGGAGCGTCTTCCGGTAATTGCGATCCCTCTGCGTGACAGCAGCGTTATCTCATTTACCTCGTTCTAAGGTCATAGCCGCCATGCTTGAAAAAACCACCGAGTTGCACCGAAAGACGTTTTAATCCCAAAATTTAGATAATAAATAGCACTGGCAGAGCAGCAAATCGTTCAATCAGCTCGGAATCAATTATCGGTGGAGCTCTATCGTTCTTCAGGAGACGCCAAGGGGCACGCTTGACGTCTATGGCAACGATTCTGAAGAACCAGCTGTGTTGGTCGCCGGTGATCGTGCGCCCGACGCCCCAGGGTTGTTAGCAGAGGGGAATACCGTGCCACAAACTCTTTTCGACATTTTCAAGTATACGGCCCATACCGTCTTGGTGTTCTGTCCCCTAGCGGAACGTTCGACGATTTGTGGGGTAGTCGGGTTTATGTCTGGCTTACCGCAGCGAGTTCAATCTGTCGTCATTCATCCATCCAACTCCCCGGGGATCGAGGTTTTGGAACCTCAGGCAGATTTTGTTGTCTGGGACCAAGACGGGCATGCCTTCAGCGCGTATTGTGCCTCTGTGGACCAGATATATTGTATTGTCGTTCGTCCGGATGGAATGGTCGGAGCCATCGTGTCCGGCGTGGTGGGGTTGACGAAATATTTTGATAACATTTTTCAACGTCGTGTCTAGCCGGTTCCTGTCGAAAATCTTCGGTCGATACTGATACATGTATTTCGATTGGATAAATCACCAGCAGATAACACTATTTTTACAGCTTTGCTGTTGGCTTCGCTCCTGCCTTCAACACTCCCACAGCTTCCTCAAAATCCGGAACTTCATCTGCCCGCCGCATCGCTCCGCCCCACCTGACCGTCCCCCCGCCGTCAACCGCAAAGCTCCCGGACACCTGCCACCGATTCCCGCTCTCCGTCGGCCGGTTCCAGATCCCGTCGGTCTTGCCGAGGCGATAGGCGGCCCACAGGCCCGCGGGGCTCAGGAAGTGCCCCAGCGACGACAGCCCGAGGCCCCAGCGCGCGAACTCGTCCCGCGCCGCGTCGACGACGATCTCGACGGGGGACGCGCCCCCGAGCGCGGCGAGCCAGCGGTCCGTCGCGCCGCGGTCGCTGTGCGAGACCGCGACGAAGCGGACGGCGGGGGTGTGCGCGGCGGTCGCGCGCAGGGCGCGGAACGTCCGCTCGGCGACTGGGGTATCGGCATTGTTAGCGAGTTAATACGGATGAACCCAAGATGGTGCACGGACAGGGGCAGCCGCAGTGGCGGAGGAAGGTTACAACCGTGGGGCGGCCGTCGGCGCTGGGCATGGGTAGGTGGGGTGACGAGGGCGCCTTGGACCCGATCTCGGGGACCGGTTGCGTTGCCTTGGCCTTGGGGACCCGGAAGGAGCTGAGTTCTTGTTTGAAGGTCATTCACGGTACTAGGTAGATGGATGGAAAGGGCAAGACGGTCTCGGTACGCGAGATCGCCGGAGGTGTGACGTATCGCGGGCGAAGTTTTTCCCACAGTTCAACACATAGACTTCTCCAATACCCGGATGCAAACATTGCAAAAGAGACCAGGAATTCCACCCGGGCAGTTCCATTTTTTTCTCTACCATTACCAAAGTTGCGAACATGTTACTGCCGTCGAACACAAGGATTCCGCGGGCGTTGAGTTTTCCTCCACATGCTCATCGACCCGCGCGAGCGGGCCAATAATCACGAATATTTTCAATTTCGCGAAGTTTTCGCCGGCTAACGCGGAGGCCATAATCGCAGGGTATCGTCTGTGTGCTTCGGCTTGCGATCCGAGCCATATTATGCGACGATGATTTTTGTCAACGAGTTGAACGAAGACCAGAAATCTCAGGCTGGCAAGCATCCGAGAGGCATCTGGCTGCCACTGTGGTGAGCCCTGTACACCGTGGCAGAGCAAGCGACCCCGGACTCGGAGCTTCAAGGCCCTCGGCTGTAATCCGATTTTCGGTCCGTGGAGTGGAAGTCAATAAAGCGAACCGCAATATGGACACCGGGTGAGGCTTCGTTCGCTTCAAGCCAGCAGCGGTGTACAGATATCCGAGTTCATGGGAGAATATAGGACCTGATCCAGAGACAGAGACAGAAATATCGGGGAAAAAGGAGCTTCGTCGGTATCTACGTCAACTGCACGGGCGTGATCGAGGCCGGTGGAAGTAACTTGAACTCCTCAAGTCAATCTCATCCTTTTACTCTGTGCAAACAACATGCTTACAGTACCGTGCACAAGGACATGCAGGGCACTTTACTTTTCATGGCGCGTGTTGCACGGGACATTTTGGCCATTCCCGGTGTCAGCATTTCGGTAAAGCGCCTCTTTTCGAGCGTGAAACACACCTTGTCGGATGCTCGGTCGTCAATGACTGCGGAGACGGCGGCGTTGGATATCGTGACGAAGGAGTGGTTGAAGTTTGGACTTGGGGCGGGCGTAAACTACATGCATTTCATCGAGACTCACGCTCGGTAGAATATATTTCTATATTCGAAATACATTCATATTCACCCGTCGGAATATGAATACGATACACTAAGAATACAATGCGGCCCTGCAGCGGTGAATACAATATGGATATGAATACGATACGCCAAATGGCGTATTTATATCATATTTGACCAGCACTACATCCGGGCGTGCCAGTGCGCCGGAAATCAAGACAACCGCTTCGATGTTGCCCTCACCCTCGAATGGATCAACAGCCGGCCGCGGCTCGGGTTCAACTTCCCCATGTATACTTATGCAGCGGATTCGCGGATTCCCCCCCCAACCCTGCCGGTCCAGTCCGATCCCGCAACTTGCCATGGGGCTAACTTAATTTCGTCCATTCCCTCGACTGCAAGTCTTGAGCGTCTTGAGCACCTGAGCTGTAATTTTTAAATCGAACGGGTGTGTTGACATTCCCACGGTTGCGGTGCCTGTGCCGTTTCTTCTCCTGCGCAGGGATCGTTTCCACTAGTGAAATACGATTGCGGATGCCAAGGCGGATGGATATCGGGCGTGGTGATTTCGGGGCGGGGTCAAGGCTGGTTGGTGTTACCACTTATCTGTCCGCTTTTTCAGGATCCGTCCGTCCGGCAGTGAGGTAGACAGGAGCTGCCAGTGCATGCATGATGTACGCTGGATATCATGCATCATGCCCCCTTTTCTCTCATGTTTATCTGACTCTCGATCCCCGGCGATCTAGCACGGGCCGGGGAATAGTGCGCAGGATTGAAGTAGGTGTTCAAGCTATTCCGCGAAGGATAAATATTAATGTTGGAGTAGCACACATGCGCGGCACACGCGAAAAAAAGTAATCGGTGCACCCCTAAATTAGCCTCCCGCGTACAAGCGAGGAACGAGAGGCTACTTCCCACCGTGCGTATTATATTCACAGCTCACAGCTCGAAGCCGTGGCGGACATCGATTGCACGAACCAGCAGACTGGACTGGATGCCAGTTGACCCGGGCGGATGGACTGAGCGCTGGAGAGGGGCATTCGGGGATGGAGAGCCGGGGAGTGCGGGAGTGCGGTGTGGCCGGAAAGACCGATCAAAGAAACAACATTGATATTTATTCGGGGATGCGGAGTCCGTGTCTGTTTCTGAACCAGTGAGCGACGTGATTGAACGAAGAACAAGAAAAAAAAAGGCTAGAGCAGAGGAAAAAAATCTTCACACATAATGCGAATGCATCAGGAGGGAATCGAACCCCCGGCGGGTCGAACCCGCAATTTATGTCTTTTATGTGGCAACGACCCAGGTTACCACTACCCCACTGATGCGGTGGTAGATTGGGGGCCTTTGGAAATATGAGGGGATTTGCACTGAGTCGAAAGGGGCTAATTTTTGGGGGGTGGAATTTGGTGGATAGAGTGGGTTGAGTTGGGGGAGGGTCGGAGGACGAGAGGGTAAGGGAAGGAACGAAGAGCTAGGTTCGGGCTACCCGGTGATGCGGTGGGGCTTGGGCTTTGGCTGGACTCGTTCTATTCCTGCTGTGTGCCTAGGTGACTCGGAGTGACAACGGGTGTAAGATGAGAAAGCGGGGTCGAGGCCCAAGGGCGCTTATGGAAGAAGGATGGAATGTGCCAGGGTTTGGCTTCCAGGGTGGAGAAAATAATAGGAAGGGAGGGAAGGGTTTGAGCTGGGATTTGGAACGGAGGGAATTTGAGAGGGTCGGCCCGTGTGTGGAGAACCGTGCGTGGAGTTGAGGGTGTGTTGGGTGTTGAGTGTTGGCTGTACGAAGAGGAGATGTCGAGAGCGAGTAAGGGTTCGCGTTGGGGCCGGGGGTAGTAGTAGTGGTCCGAGGACGACTCGGTGATGGTTGGTGTTACTGTGACCCACCCTTGTTTGCCCGCCTGTGTCGATGGAAGGCCGCCCTGCAGGCCCGCGCGCGCCGCCTGCGCCCGCGCAGGAGCGCCACGCCGCCTACGAGGACATCTTCGGCCGCCGGCCCGCCCACCACCACCCGCAGCCCGCCCCGCGCCACCCCGCCTACGCTCCGCAGCAGCAGCAATACTACCCCCCGCCCGCGCCCGCCCCCGCGGGCTACAACCCCTACCCCCAGCGGCCCCCCGTCTATGGCGCCCCCGCCCACTACCACCAGCAGCAACAGCAGCAACAGCAGCAGCAGCAGCAGCTGTACCGCCCGCACCCCGCCGCGCCGTCCGTGCGCTCCATGCAGACGGGGTACGGGCCCCCGCCACCGCAGCACAACGGCATGGGCATGGGCGGCAGCAATGCGTACCCGCCGCCGCTCGACGGCAACGGGCTGACGCCCGCGCAGGCGTACCAGGCGCAGGTCGCCCACGGGCGCGCGCGCACGCCTGCGCCGCCGGCGCTGAGCGTCGCGGTCGGCGGCGAGGGCGCGCTGGGGATCGACTTCGAGCGGCAGGGGGGGCCGCCGAGGGAGGCGGATGAGGACGACGACGGGGAGGACGGGGAGGAGGAGAGCGAGCTGCCGTGGGCACGACGTGAGTGCCGTCTTGTTTTCGTGGAGCGGCTTCGGCTGCGGTGGGCGTCGATGCACACACGCCCTGGCGTCGGCGCAACGGGGGGCGGCCACTAGCGATGCTTCTTGCTATCCCGTATCCCGGCGCATCGCTGCACCCGACCCATCGATAGATAATCCCAAATCCTACCCACGCACCCCGCGACCCCGGCGCATCCCTCTTATCTCTCCTCCTCGCCCCATCCTTCCGTCCCCTCCTCGCTTCGCCGCCCCGCCTCTCGGAGCCGCCCCACACCTCCTACGCCCCCCTTCTCTTCGCTTCTCCCATCTTTCTTGCTTATTTTGGCATCTCATCCCATCCCATCCCGGCCCCCGTCCCATCCCATCCCATTCCAATTCCGTCGCTATCTCGCGCCCCCCGCCGCACCGCATCGCTGACACACCGTTCTCTCTCCAGCAGAGCCCCCGCAACCGCAACCGCTACAACAACGTGAGTCTCCCTCGCTGGTTATCTTTATCTCGTCCTCTCCTTCCGCCTTGCGCATTTCGCATTTCGCATTTCGTATCGTGTCCTTGCACCCACTTCCATATTGCGCGCTGCTCTACTCTGTCTTGCGTCCGTCCGTGTGCACTCGCGCCCCCGTCGATCTCGCGTCTGCGTCTGGGCCTGGGCCTGGCTCGTCCCGTCCCGCTGCGCGCGCCTATGCGGCCCGCGGCCGATTTGGCGCTGCCTCGCCCCGCGCGCGTGCATCGTAGGAGCGTCCGCGTATAGCTGCGCTGGGCGCTCGCCGTCTCGCCCGCTTCCCTTCCTTCCCCTCCCCTCCCCTCCCCACCCCGTCCCGCGATTACACGACCTGTACTGACTACGACTTTTTTGTGCAGAACACCGTGAGTTTCTTTTCGTTGTGCTGTCTGTTGTCTCTCGTCTCTCGCGTGTGCGTTGGCGGGCTCGTTCGCTCTCGCTCGAGACGCGGAGAGACGCGCGCGCCGCGGCGTCGTTATGTGCTATCCGCGCCTTGGACGCGCCGTGGCGAGCCGTGGCGTCGTGGCGTCGTGGCGCGGCCGTTGGCGCTGGCGCTGGGCGCCGATTGGGGCGTTGACTGGGGCGGCGTCGGGCGTCGTGGCGGTTGGGCTGTGTTGACTGCGGTGGTGGCGGCGCTGGCGTCGTTGTCTGTCGATTGGGATGGTGTGTCTGTCTGTCTGTCTGGCGGTGGCTGATGGGGGGTGGCGCTGTGGCTGTCGATGTGGAGTGGCGAATTGGTGGCGGTGGGCGCTGTGGCGCTGTCGCTTGCCTGCGGGAGCCCGGGATGCGTGTTGGCGCCCGCAGAGACGAGGCGACGTGCGGTTTTCCTCCACAGCCTGACATTGGCCCAGCGGCATTTTGGCGCGCCTGCCCTAGCGCCCCGGCTGCTTCGGCGCCTGCGACACGAGGCGCCCGCTTTCGTTTCGTTTCGTTTCGTTTCGTTTCGTTTCGCGCCTCTCTTCCTTCCCCCCCCTTTTTTTCAATTTGTTTCCTGTATTCCGATGCTGATGACTTTTACTTTTCGCAGAACAACGTGGGTTGCCTTCTTCCTTCTTGGTTTTTGGTTTCGGTTCTTTGCTTCGTTCCTGATCTTCCTGATCTTCTCGCGTCCTTCTCCGTTTCCTTCGTGTTCTTCCTCTCATCGCCTTTCCGTGCGCCTGTGGGCTGCTGCGGTCCCGATTGGGTATGGATCCCGCCCGCGGACGTGCCTATACCTCCTAGATCCCTTAAGGGGAAGACGCCGCGGTTGCGGTTGCGGTTACGGTATCTAAGCGCACGGGAATCGGGATCGTCCCGCGTTTCTATTCGCGTGTATCCAGGCGCGGAGATTTCGGGACGTCGCGCTTCTTTTCCCAATATTTCGGTGCTTTTACTGGGGTGTCGGGTGTCGTCGTGGGCTACGTCATTTATTCTCTCATTTCTTATTTTTCATTTGCCCTTTTCCATTTTTCCATTTTTTCATTTTGGTTCGGGTGCGGACGGTTGGGGCGTGGGGTGGGGGTGCGCGCGCTCGTCGTGCATGTTGTGACGTTGGCGGCGCGGGGGCTTTAGAGTCCGCGACGTCATATTATGCGCGTTTTTTTTTTCGGTTTGGGATGGTGGGCGGGAGCGGCGGCCTTACGACCCGGAGGCGAGCGAGTGTATCCTTTCTGCGCCGCAGGCGATCCAACTGCGCTGTTGGCTTGATTTCTTCATTTTTCATCTTCCCTTTCCTCTTTTCTTTTCTTTTTTGAATTGGCAGAGGGCGTGCGAGGTCGTGCGCGCTATCTTCGTGACGTTGGCGGGATCTTTTAACGATATCCGCTACGTCATCCCCGGCTAAGGTTGCTGGTCATATATTTTCTTTCGTTCTTCTCCGGGACGACGGCGTTCGCACAGCTGGCGCTACATGAGACTACCGCGCGGCCATCAGTCGGAGCGTGTTGGCGGTATGCTAGAGCCCCGCGGTGCCCTTCCCTGCTCGTTCCTCGTTCTTCTCGATTCCCTTTGTGTAATACAGCGCTGATTGTATGGCCACAGCACAATACGCCCAGCTAGCCCCGCCGCTGCAGTCGCAATACGCCCAACACCAACAACCGCACGCCCCGCAATACGCGCAACGCGGGCCGATACCCGCGAACCGATTCTCCAGCGCCTCGGACACGCCGCCGCAGTCGCTCCGCTCGTCCGTCGCCAGCTCGTCGACGTCGCCGACCTCGCTCGACCACGAGCAGCTGCCCTCGCCGTCCTTGAGCGGGCCCGGCGCGAGCCACCTCCAGCACACCGCCACGTCGTCGCGCCGCTCGTCCGAGACGTCCCGCACGCTCCCGCGCTTCGCGGGCCCGCGGCGCGAGCGCACGGCGCAGGACCGCGCGATGAGCATGTCCGCCATGTCGGCGTCGTCGGCCGCCGCGACGCTCGTCAACGCTGCGGCCAACTCGTCGTCGTCGACGGTCGCCAAGGCGCCGAAGCGCGCGGCGCCGATCGTGTACCCCGCGCTGCTCTCGCGCGTCGCGGACGCGTTCCGGCAGCGCGTGCCGCGCGCGGACCGCGTCAAGGACGGGCTGACGTACCACGACGCGTTCGACGGGCGCGAGGCGGTCGACCGCATCGCGCACATCATCAAGACGACGGACCGCAACCTCGCGCTGCTGCTCGGCCGCGCGCTCGACGCGCAGAAGTTCTTCCACGACGTGACGTACGACCACCGGCTGCGGGATAGCGTCGTCGAGCTGTACCAGTTCCGGACGAAGCTGCCGAGCCCGTTTGGGAGCGGGGAGCTTGCGGTGCAGGGCGCGGGGGAGACGCTGCTGGGGGCGCCCGCGGAGGGCGGGGCGGGGAACGAGAACGGGAGCGTGATGACGCCCGAGTCGTTTGATGCGGGCGCGGGGCCGCCGAGCGCGGTGGAGGCGGAGGAGGAGGCGCCGCTGCCCTCGGGGGTGTTTACGCTGCTCGCGGACTGCTACAGCCCGACGTGCAGCCGCGACCAGCTGTGCTACAGCATCGCGTGCCCCCGCCGGCTCGAGCAGCAGGCGCGCCTGAACATGAAGCCGCAGCCCGGCCTGACTAAGGTGCGTGGCCATCCGCTCTCTATGTGCCTTACTGACCTGTTTTGCGCACGCAGGACGCGCACGAGTCGCTCGGGGACACGGAGCCCGACGCGGGGACGCTGTGGATCCACTCGGTGCCGGCGGAGATCGCGGCGAGCGTGAGCGACGCGGAGAAGAAGCGGCAGGAGGCGATCAACGAGGTGATCTACACCGAGCGCGACTTTGTGCGCGACATGGAGTACCTGCGCGACTCGTGGGTCGCGCGCCTCGCGGCCGCGGACATCATCCCCGCGGACCGCCGCGAGCAGTTCCTCATCCAGGTGTTCTGGAACGCGCACGATATTATTATGGTCAACACCAAGGTGCGTGCTCTCCGACATCGAGTGAAATGGCGACGCTGACGCTGACGGGTGTAGCTGCGGGACGCGCTGAACAAGCGGCAGCGGGCGTACGCGGTGGTGGAGAAGATTGGGGACATTTTCATGGACGCGGTGCCGCACTTTGAGCCGTTTGTGAGCTACGGCGCGCACCAGCTGTATGGCAAGTACGAGTTTGAGAAGGAGAAGAGCGCGAATCCGGCGTTTGCGGCGTTTGTCGAGGTGCGTGGCTGTCCTCTGTTTGTGTGGGCGGCATGCTGACGGGTGGGGGGCGCGACAGACGACGGAGCGGATGCCCGAGTCGCGCAAGCTCGAGCTGAACGCGTACCTGACCAAGCCGACGACGCGGCTCGCGCGGTACCCGCTGCTGCTCGAGGCGGTGCTCAAGCACACGCCGGACGACTCGCCGGACAAGATCGTCCTCCCGCAGGTCGTCGCGCAGGTGCGCGCGTTCCTCTCGCGCGTGAACGAGGAGTCGGGCCGCGCGGAGAACCGGTTCAACCTCGCGCAGCTCGATTCGCAGCTCGTGTTCAAGCAGGGGGAGGAGGTCGTAAGTCGCGTCGTGCTGCCTTGCCGTTTGGGTGCTGATGAGTTGGACAGGACCTGCGGCTGCAGGAGGACGGGCGCGAGCTGGTGTACAAGGGCGTGCTGAACAAGCGCGACGGGGAGCTGCAGGTGTATCTGTTTGACCACGCGCTGCTGTTTGCGAAGCAGGTCAAGACGAAGACGCATGAGCAGTACCGGGTGTACCGGCGGGTGCGTGCATTGCATGGTATCCCACAGCTGGTGTTGATTACTTCTCCCAGCCGATCCCACTCGAGCTCCTGCTCATCAGCGCGTCGGAGGAGGCGACGAACGGCAAGGACACGGCCCGCGGGCAGCGGAACCGGCAGCTCGTGCGCAAGACGTCGTTCGGGAGCACCGCGACGCGCGGCTCGCCGCACCCGCCGTCGGTGCACATCCGGCCCGACGCCAAGGGCCCGCACTGGATCATGTTCGCGCATCTGGGGCGCAAGAACTACAGCGTCGTGCTGTCGGCCAACTCGGCGCTCGCGCAGCGCAAGTGGGTCGAGAACATCACGAAGCAGCAGGCGGCGATGCGCGAGCGCAGCATGGTGTTTGACACGGTCGCGCTCAGCGAGGGCTTCTTTGGCGCGAATAAAGTCAACTGCGCGGCGCCGTTTAGTGGCGGGCGGCGGATCGTGTATGGGACGGACGACGGGGTGTATATCTCGGACCTGCGGGATATCAGCAAGGCGCCGGACAAGGTGCTTGCGCTGCTCGACGTGTGCCAGGTCGATGTCCTCGAGGACTACCAGCTGCTCATCGTGCTTTCCGGTGCGCTTCACGACAGGCCCGTTCTTTCTGCTGTGCTGACGTCCTCGTAGAACGCCAGGTGCTGACGTTCCCGCTGGACGCGCTGGACCGCATGGACCCCACGGCGGGGCTCAAGCGTGCCAAGCGCATCGCGACGCACACGTCCTTCTTCAAGGCCGGATTCTGTCTCGGCCGCGTGCTGGTGTGCATCGTCAAGTCGACGCAACTGTCGAGTACCTTCAAGGCACTCGAGCCGATCGAGCAGACGGTCCGCGGGCGCGCCAAGCCCACGTTCAAGAAGCTGCTGCAGGGCGGGAACGACACACTCAAGCCGTTCAGAGTGAGCCGCTCCGTGACGCTGGTGTTGGGCCCCGATACTTACGAGGTTTCGTGCAGGAATTCTACATCCCGGTCGAGTCGACGTCGATACACTACCTCAAGACGCGGATGTGCATCGGGTGCTCCAAGGGGTTCGAGATTGTCGATCTGGAGTCGCTGGAGACGCAGGGACTGCTCGACCCCGCAGACGAGTCGCTGGAGTTTGTCCGGAAGCGGGAGAATCTGCGCCCGATGGCAATTTATCGCATAAATAACGACTTTTTGCTCTGCTACGATGGTGCGTCGTATTCATGGTGCTGCATGGGCTTGGCTAACGACATGCATGTGGTGCAGAGTTTGCATTTTACGTCAACAAAACGGGACGACGGTCGAGGAAAGAGTTTATGGTGTTTTGGGAGGGGACGCCCACGGGCTTTGGTACGTCTTCTACCTCGATTTGCAGACGTTGCGCTAATGGCCGGGCAGCGCTGCACGAGCCATACGTCCTCGCGTTCGAGCCGTCGTTTGTCGAGATCCGACATATTGAGACGGGGCTCATGTCGCAGGTCATCCAGGGCTCGAACCTGCGGCTGCTGTTCGCGGACACGCCGCCGTCGGTGAACAACAGCGGCGGCGGGTACACGTACCAGGGCGGGGGGTACGACCCATATAACCCGCCCAACTCGGCTGGTGGGCGTGGGTCGGCGTACAGCGGGTACGCGCTGCCGCCGCACATGCAGCAGCCGCACCAGTACCAGCAGCAGCAGCAGCAGCACCGCTACCCGCAGGGCGTCGGGCGCGACGAGATCTTGATGGTCTCGGACGACCGCGTCCTCGCCCTCCGCACGGCGGCGGGCCCGCAGCGCTTCATGTCCGATAATGTCTCAATGACGTCCATGCCTCGATAGCTTTTGACGTGGGTCTACGACTGTGTTCCGCGGGTCTACGGCTGTATTCCGATTTGGGCTGTTCTGCTCTGTTTTATCATACTTTCTCTTCCTCTTTTTATCTCTCTCTCTCTCTCTCTTGTTCCATATACAACGTACATACCTACTGATCATCTGTTTCGTTCATTGTGCACGCGCGTCGGTCTCATGTCTCTTTATAGTGTGTTTGTTTGCTCTAGCCGTCATGTCGCGTAGGTATACATATACTCTATTATATATCACTTGCATTCTGTACTCTTAATACGGGCATCGTGAGGAATCCTTGGACCGCAAGCTAGGCATCTGCGATTTAGTGTGGAACCACTTTGCGTACGATCGATTCTCAGAGCAAACAGATCTCTTATGTCGCCTTGATCGGATGCACGCTCGAAGTGGTCGAGGTGGCGCAAGTGATGCCAACAAGACATGGGACTTGGGACCCTTTTCTATGCCGTTCCCGCTATCGTAAAATCGCGCAAAAAATGTAGTATACTGAAGGCGGGATGCTCTCCGTGCGAGTTAGTGCCAAAAAGGGTGCAAACGCTGCAAAAAGGGCCTAACCGGGAATTGAACCCGGGACCTCCTCGATAGATCACGTGATTGCTGGAGTTAGGTAATCCAGCAGTGCCCTAACAAGGAATCATACTACTAGACCATCAGGCCGATAGAAGCTGGGCATTTAACAACATTGTATTGTACTGGCACCCTGGTTGGCTTCCCAGCTGTCTTTTCCTACCTCTGACTTAAGTATACTGAGAAGTCAAATGGAACTGCCGCGTTGAATTCCACTCAGTCCTACACATTTATTGACTGCAACTGAATACTGGGTGGATATGACTCCTGTGAACTAGATAATGTTGTAGGTCAAGAGTTCAGGGTTGCTGTAACTGTTCTCTTATATTAGGCAAGTAATACTAGTCTGAAGCAGGCTTCAATTAATACATTCCGAGGTAATGGCCCTGCCGGGCGGTGCCTGGATACCCAATGTCCCGAGCATCCAATGCTTGGCCTCACGAGGACAATTCCGACTCGAGGACAAGCACATTTCATACAAGCTCTAGAATAATCGCCTTGACCAGCGACCTTCCAGGTATCCACGTCATAAATGCTATTCTACCCTCCCCTTCGTCTATATCCAACGATCTTGGTTCAAAGACATGCTCGGACGAATACAACACCAACCCACTGTTCCTGTGCGGTAAATATGTCACTGATCCACCGTGTCCCCTGGCCGCTCACATCCACATCAATAATACAGCAAAACACCGCATATACGTCCCTTCAGTCGACACAGACGACCGACACAGGCACTACATTCATATATCCCTCACTCCACCCAACACACAACACATATGCTGGCATCGCCCCCAACATCTGGTAAATCCCAGATGCCGACGGTGAAGCACCGAACTAATAAAGACACAGACAGCAAGAACAAACAGAATCCCATGCGTGAGACCCCGGGGGATCTCTTTTGAGACGTTCATTGTTCGGGAGATAGCAGGCAGGACACTAGACCTCTACTTTTGTTGCTCTCCCATCTCCTAAACTGTATTCATGTACAATAAAATCATTGGTGTTGCATGAACCGGCCATATTCCATCCCTCATCGGTCGACAGCCGAAAACAAACTCCTGATTGTAAATATTCGGGTGAAAACGGCCAACATGGGTAAGAACGGAGAAGAGACAGTGCACATTTTCGAGGCAGTGCAGTGGCTGTGTCTCTTTTTTCACCGCGAGTGAGACTACTTTCCATATAAGGCTATTCTTACTTATTAAGGCAGTAGTGTGGGTACTGTAGAGCCCAGATACTAAAGTATCCAGGCATAGTCCTCGACCACATGACCCTGATAGTCATCGTCCCCTTCGGGACTAGATACCGAGGTCAATGCTAATAACTTACAACAGATAAAGTTGTATATCAATACAATAGACCACATTTTTGGCACCAAGTATGCATTATTATTATCAATGCCGATGTGGAGGTCGAGATTCCCTCCACGCTTACGGGCCCCCCCAGGTTAATCTATTATTAACTGTGCGGGTGCTACTTCGTATCACCAAAAAAAAGATTTATTTACAGCTGTAAACTAGGAAACGAAACGCAACGTGGTAGCAAAACACTAGGTTGTTTGCTACCTTAGAGAGCTTGGAGAGGCACCAATTTTTGAGAGACTATTCTCCTCATCCAGAAACCCCCGTAAGTCAAAGGAATTGAGAGAAACGGTCATATTGCGGCTGCACGGCGCGATTCCGTGTGCACCACCTATTTGGCATATTTTATTGGGCCTGTGGTTGATTGCCCTCGCAGGCCGGAAAAATGATGCAGGGTATCAACAGGGTGTTTTTAGGTCTTAGGCTTATGACGGACATGGTCTCAAGTCTTCAAGTCCCAAAGATTCAGGCAATTGGAGTTGTTTCGTAGTGTTTCGCTATCACGTTATTTTGTCATGATCCGGAATTCTTTTCCGATATCCCGGGGTTCAACTCCGTTATTCCGGACTCAACCCCTCCACATCCCGATCGTAGGAACAACGATCGGTATTAATATTGCGCATTAACCCTATGTGTCCTGTTACCACAGGCACCAAACCCCCTAATCCCCTATAAATCCCTTGGCGTTTGTATATAAACCCTGTACTATTCTACTATTCTCTATACTATTCTGGTCTATACTCCAGCTGCTTGTTTGCATGTCCCCTTCACTCTGCTTTTCCCTCGTCCAGTCACCTCAGTCGCGTTTCGAGAACCCGACGAGCCGCTGTGCTGACAAAAGAATAGTATCTCCCAAACAACTACTCGACTGGACTAGATGCCACGCGTAAACCCAGTGGAATTTGACGAGTTCATTGCCCACGGGCCGGACGACAGAACCCGATATCTCTTCAACAAATCTCTCGACGATGCGGAGAGTATGGCCGAAGAGTTGCGGAAAATCAACACTTCTGGCACTACCTTGGAGACCATGGTTACGGGATTACAGGGGACCGTGACAGAGTTGCAGAAGAGCATGGCTCGTATGGAGGAGGACAGGAGCACCACCACCGGGATGGTGGCGACCGCCTTGGAGATGATGAAAGAAGCGAGAGACGAGATTAGAGAGATGCGCCAGGCAGAAGCTCCTATCAGAGGCACTGCCCAGGCACGGGAAGTGCGGGTGAACACGAAACAACCTCAAGTGGCTGCCCCGAACGTGTTCGGTGGTGATCCCAAGAAGGTGGACCAACTCCTCGCAGACTGCTGGCTTAATTTCCAAGGCAACACCGCGTACGACAGTGATATCGCGAAGATCACCTATTGCCTTTCCTACATGAAGGACGGGGCCACCGCCGCCTGGGCCAACAACGTCGTGCAAGCCATGCGTAAAGGGGACGGCACGGGAGCCTACAAGACCTGGAAGGAGTTCGAAGAAGCTGTCGTTCAGGACTTCAAAGGGGGGGCGCAGGTCGAAATTGCGCAGTCCAAAATGGAGTCCTTGTGCCAGGAGAAGACCACGGCTACCGCCTACTTCACTGTCCTGGACTCACTCAACAAGACGGCGGGATTTGACGACACCACCCTCATCCATATCCTGAAGCACGGGATTCAACTGCCGCTAGTGGAATCGGTCTACAAACAAGAAGTAATGCCCAAGACCTATGACGACTGGAAGAAGGCCATCATTAAACACGCCGGCCTTGAACGGGCCTATCAGGCCATGCAGTACTCGTTGCGTGACCATGCCACCCACTCCCCGCTGTCCACCAATCGTACCCATAATCCCGCTGGTAATACCGGCAGTAACACCGGGACCCCTCGCCGCAGCGAATGGCGTGGGAACTCCGGAGGCAACCCCAACACCACAACCAGTAATCCCGGTTCGAGCACTGTGGCCTCCACCTCCAGCACCGCGACGGTGCCAATGGACATCGACAGGACTACGGCGCGCGGGCCCAGCTTTCGCAAAGGCAAGCCAGTCTGTTATCATTGCAACAAAGAAGGGCACATCACGCGTAACTGCCCCGAAGTCATGGCCAAGAACCCGCAGTTCCGCGCCATGATGACCGACTTGTTTAAGGAAACCCTGGGGGATTTTGTCGACGATCAGGAGTGAAAGCTGTGTCCTCCCGATCTATACCCATACCTGACTCGCGTGTACCCGTCTCCCCTGCCAATCGATTTGAAGTACTGGCCGTATTTGAAAATCCCGAGGATGACACCGAGTCTGAACAAACCGCAAGCGACGAAGAGAAGGAGGGAGAGAAGGAGAGGAGCTCCGGGCCCAACCTGCATAGCTCCCTTCGAAAGAGAAAGAGGAAGCCTCAGATGGAGAAAGCGGAGTGGCGCCGACTCCCTGAAGGTAGTGCGATCCAAGCCCTGGAGCACATGCGAGAGAGACCGCAGGACGCCTATAGGGTCCTTAGGGGGTGGGCCCACCCTCGACGCCGAACGGAGGCCGCCACTGCCCTTATTCAACACCTACTTGCGACATACCCTCCTGAGGCCTTAGATGCACTGGAGAATTTGCGCGAAGCACCGCAGTTCATACGATCTGCGCAGAGCGTACAGGGTAGCTCGATGATGGTACCCCTGGTACTGGAAGACCTTTCCAACCTCAAGGGCTTTACAGTCGCGGGATTACTCGACAGCAGGGCCACCAACAGGTTTATCAACGCCAAGCTAGTGGAGGAAAACGGACTGGAAATGGAGCCCTTGCCTCTAGCAGTACCAGTCTATAATGCCGATGGAACCACCAACAAAGGGGATCGGATCACCCACGTCATTCGACTTCGCCTGCAGATCAAGGACCATACGGAGATATTCCCCTTCGCGGTCATGGACACGGGCAAGAGCGACGTGATCATCGGGTTTAACTGGTTGAAACGGCATAATCCTGACATTGACTGGCAGAAGGGAGAAATAACCTTTTCTCGATGCCCGCCCGAGTGCAAGCGAAAACGCCTGTGGGAAGAGTGGGAGGAAGAGGACGCAGAGGAAATAGAATCAGTGGACCAAATCTTTGTGACCAAGATCTATTCGGAAGAGGCGTTGCCACGTCGGGATGCAGAACAGATCCGAGCGATGGGGAGTGTGGCGACGAAGTTAGCGGCTGCCGCGCACGAAGCCAAAGGGGAGCAGACGCTGGAGGAGGCAGTTCCGGAACACTACTTACGGGATTATCAGTCGGTCTTCGAGAAACAAGACTTTGATAAACTCCCGGCTCGAAAGAAGTGGGACCACGCCATTGAGTTGAAACCTGGTGCGGAACCTGTACGAGGACGGAGTATCCCACTCTCCGTCCCCGAGCAGAAGGAGTTGGACACCTTCATCAAAGAACATTTGGAGACTGGTCGTATTCGACCTTCCAAATCCCCGTTCGCGTCACCCTTCTTCTTCGTCAAGAAGAAGGATGGGAAACTTTGACCCGTCCAGGACTACCGAAAACTCAACGCTATAACCGTGAAGAACCGGTATCCCATTCCCCTTATCTCGGAAATCATGCATATGCTGTGTAAGGCAACCTGGTTCACCAAACTTGACGTGCGATGGGGATACAATAACATTCGCATCAAAGAAGGAGACGAGGAGAAAGCCGCATTCATCACCAATCGGGGATTATGGGAACCCTTGGTAATGTTTTTTGGGCTGACAAACTCGCCGGCCACATTTCAATCCATGATG